CTGAGATAATAATAGTGACTACTTCATAAAGTTGATGTGAGGATTAAATTATTGACATGTGGCTGGGTGTGGTGGCTCATGCTTGTAATCCCAGAACTTTGGGAAGCTGAGGTGGGAGGATCACATGAGGCCAGGAGTTTGAGACCAGCTTGACCAACATGACAAAACCCTGTCTTTACTAAAAATACCAAAATTAGCCAGGTGTGGTGGTGCCTGCCTGTAATCCCAGCTACTTGGGAGGCTAAGGCGGGAGAATTGTTTGAACCTGGGAGGCAGAGGTTGCAGTGAGCTGAGATCGTGCCACTGCACTCCAGCCTGGGAGACAGAGCCAGACTCCATCTCAAAAAAATTAAAAAAAATAAATATCGACAGGTAAATCACTTAAAACAGTACCCAGAACATAGAAATAATAACATCAACAATAATATTGTGATGATTGCTACTGCTCCTAGTAGTTATATTTATTGTAAGAATATTTTTATATTTATAATACTGAAAAGGTAGTAAAATTAATTTTTATCAGTAGAATTCTAGTAAAGTAATTATATTCATCCAATGGCATACTCTGTGTGGGTAGTGAAATGAAAATTTTCAATAACACGTTGTTAAGTGAACAAAGGAAAATGCAGAACAGTGCATATTGTATGCTTGCATTGGTATGGAAAAGAAATGTATATATTTCTGTATATGAGAATATATAATTGTTGATGAGCGTTGATTCTTTAAACTGCTTGACTTTTTTGATATTTATTTATTTATTGTTATTTAAAAAGGAAAGTATTTTTCATAGAGACAAAGTTTTGTCATGATGCCCAGGCTGGTCTCAAAGTCCTGGGCTCAAGTGATCCATCTGCCTTGGCCTCCCAAAGTGCTGGAATTACAGGTGTGAACCATGGCACCTGACTCAAACTGCTAGAATTCTTAAGTTCTTTGTTATTTTTATAATGATGAAAAAACTGTCATAGTAATTATAAGCAGGAAATATTTATTGATATGAAAACCACACTCAATATATACCTAAATAAAAATATTAAGCTACAACAGTAAACATTTAGTCGCCCTGTGTCTTAGTCCTTTCTGTACTACTATAACAGAAGAGCAAGGACTGAGTAATTTATAAAAAAGAAAATGAGTTTCTCACTGTTCTGGAGGCTGGAAAGTTCAATATCAAGTTGTAGCATCTGGTGAGCCTTTTTGCTGCATCATTCCACAGCAGAAGGCAGAGGACGAGAAAGAGAGGCAGTGAGAGAAAGAGAGAGCAAGCAAGAGGGACCAAACTTGCTTTTATCAAGAACCCACTCCCATGATAACTGACTCCACCAATTGTGGCATTATTCATTCATAAGGGCAGAGCCCTCATGACTTAATCACTTCTTAAAGGTTCCCCTCTCAACATTATTGCACTGAGAATTAAGTTTCTAACATATAAACTTTGGGGACCCATTTAAACCATAGCACCCTGAAATTCATGTATACCTATCATAGAGGAGAAAAGGATTCATTTCTTTTAAGACTGAAAGACCTATGATAAAAAACAGATAACAAGCAAAAAGGAAACAAATTTATTTTAATGAAGACCCAGAGTGGCTCATGCCTGTAATCACAGAACTTTGGGAAGCTGAGGCAGGAAGATTGCTTGAGCCCAGGAGTTTGAGATCAGCCTGGGCAACATGGTGAAATCTAATCTCTACAAAAAATACAAAAAATTAGCTGGGCATGGTGGTGTGTACCTGTCCTCCCAGCTACCTGGGAGGCTGAAGTGGGAGGATTCCTTGAGCCTGGGAGGTTGAAGCTGCTATGAACCGTGATTGCACCACTGCATTCTAGCCTAGGTGACAGAGTGAGACCCTGTCTCAAAAAAGAAAAAAAAAAGAAAAAAGAAAAAAGGAAAAGAGAAACAAAGACTCCCCAAAAGAGGAAAACCTGTATTCTTGTGAACAGTTGCACAGAAGTATAATTGGAGGACAAAAGAGTATGATGTAAATGGTAATAAACTGGGGCGGGGGGACTTAGCAAGGTCTGTTTGTTGAGATTCTTTCCTGTGTGCCTGTGCTACTACATTCCTTTCCTCTGGGTATAGGCAGGATCTCTCTGGAATGAGGGTCTTACGAACTATTTTAGAGGAAGGCCAGTGAATTATTTTATGGCCTGCTTCAGGGGAGAAGCGGGGGAGAAGGTCAGAGAGACCTTCCTGCTTCTGCTATTTTCTCAAATGTCAAGGTGCTATCCTTTGGGGTAGTGTGTGAACCCCATCAATATACATAATTCTGGAAAGCTATTTGACAATATGTGAACACTGATTATTTCTGGGTAGTGGCATACTTGGAAGTTGTATTTTTCTGGTCTACTTTATTTCTACACGTTAAAAAAAATGAATATTATTTTGACATAAAACAAACAATTATAGATATTTAGATATATGTGTATACAAAAATATTAATATTTACTGTCTTTAAAAAATAAATCTATTAGGTCTGTGATTTCTTGTATCATCTATTACCAACTTTCATTAATATTTAGATTAGATAATATTTAAATTTAAATGGCATATTTTGGGTTTAATTTTAGCTTTAAAAATTCCTAGCTATTTTTAAATTAGTCTTTTTAAATATGTTTTTTCTGAGCCTTTGTTTGCTTATCTGCGTAACCTGAGGATTAAATTGAAAACAAACATGCAAACCCTCTGGCAGTTTTGTAAATTCTTTACAAATGATAGTTGCTAATGTTATAAAGTTGTATAAGAGCATCATGTTCAATGATGGTTGAAAACATTGCATAAAATTGAAAAACAATACTAAGATCCTGCTGAAATTAATTATTCATCACACAACTAGTCATATTCAGAAAGCATGCCTGCTCCACTGATTCCCTCTGTCAGCCTTCTGGCAACAGTTAAATGGCTTTAACTACCTCATGGAAAGGTTGTTTCACTTCAGTTTTCATGCTCAGCAGTGTTTAAAACAGTTTGTTTAACATAACAGAGGATCAATTAATTCTATCTGAATTAAGCTTTATTAATCATTGTTTTCATCTAAAATAAATATTTTCAAGGTTATCATAATTTTTTCTTGTCTTTGTGAAATGAAACATTTAATTTGGTTCTCTATGAGAGGGAAATGTAAAGAGGATTAAAACAGCACTGGAATGAGCTCCTTAAAAAACTCACTAAACAAATTTGGTTGGCTCTCTGTTCTCTTTCCTTTTGTTTCCCTTTTGATAATGCTTCTGTGAAACTGAAATCGCTTTCATCTAGGAACAGTTTCCTGGGTCTTTTTATGATCTGGGTATAGTTAGACAATCAAGAGTTGAAATTTTAGAATTCATGTCTTCTTGGTGTTTGCCTTCTTTTAGAGGACACTTAAAGTTTTGAAAATTATTCCTGGATTTAAGAAGCCCTGAGTGCCTTTGATAGAGATGGTGACTTTCAAGTGCTAATTGACACACTTAGTATATCACAGGATGCCAAGATCACCAGATGAGACACCCAAAGAGAAACATCAAAAGCTCTCCCCTTCAAAGGAGCTCCCAAACACTGTTTGTTGGGAGTGCACATTGGTGCAACTTATCTGGAGAACAATTTGCCAGTTATTTATCAAAATTGCAAATGCATCTACACTTTGAACCAGCAACCTCCCTACTTAGAATATATACTGTGGATATACAAGCATAAATTATCCAGAATATAAGTACATGGATATTCTTTAAAGCATTTTTTTTGTAATCACCAAAACACTAGACAGAACTGTCCAACATATTGTGATAATGAAAGAAAAATATCCTTATTCTTAGGAGCTGCATGCTGAAGAATTTAGGGAGAAGAGAAATATGACAAAAATGCTAACCTTGTTGAATCTAGATGATGAATACATGAGTGTTTATTGTACTATATCTGTTTTTCTCCATGTTGAACATTTTCATAAAATGTTTAAAAAATAGTTCATTGATAAGATATTGGGCAAATTATGATCTGTCTATAAAATGGTAAATTTGTGGTTGTCAAATATGTAATAAAATAATATTTTTCAGTGAAAATGGTAAATGGCAGAAAAGTAATCATCCCATGTAAAGTATCTGAAGAATTACTTTAGAATAAGGCTCTGGAGCTATGATGGAATAGCTTGCAGAAGGCAGATACTCCTACTGAGAACAATTAAAAAGCTGGATAGGATACAAAAAAATGTGCTTGAAGGCATCAGAAAATTACTGAAGCAACTAGGATTTGAGGGTACAAGAGCTCAGAGAGAAGAAAACCTTTGAGAAGATAACATCTGTAACTGCTTTTTTTCTCAGGGCGTTTGACTATTCTTGGTATTGAGCAAATAGTTAAGTAGCCTGATGTAGAGCCAGGAAGATATTTGCAGCTAAGAGAGAGAGAAGCGAGCAGAGTCTTTGGCAATTTCATGGAACAGGAGGGACAAAAATTAAAGTTTGGGGATATGAATGTCAGAGGTGTTTGAGGTATTTGAACCAGAGCACTCCATCTTGACTAGGGGCTGGGTGAAACAAGACTGAGAACTACCGAGCTGCAGTCCCAGGAGGTTAGGTGTTCTTAGCCACAGGATGAGATAGGAGGTCGGCACGACACAGGTCACAAAGACCTTGCTGATAAAACAGGATGTGGTAAAGAAGCTGGCCAAAACACACCAAAATCAAGATGGCAATGAAAGTGATTTCTGGTGTCCTCGCTGCTCATTATATGCTAATTATAATGCATTAGCATGCGAAAAGACACCCCCATCAGTGCCATGACAGTTTACAAATGCCATGGCAATGTCGGAAAGTTACCCTATATAGTCTAAAAAGGGGAGGAATCCTCAGTTCTTGAAATTGCCCACCCCTTTCCCAGAAAACTCATGAATAATCCACCACTTGTTTAGCATATAATCAATAAATAGCTATAAGTAGACTCAGTTCAGCAGCCCATGCCGCTGCTCTGCCTATGGGGTAGTCACTTTTTGTGTCTTAACTTTCTGAATAAACTCGCTTTCATTTTGTTACAGGAAAGGGGTGCCAATCCAGACCCCAAGAGAGGGCTCTTGAATCACACTCAACAAAGAACCTAGGGTGAGTCTGTAAAGTGAAAGCAAGTTTATTAAGAAAGTAAAGAAATAAAAGAATGGCTACTCCATGGACAGAGCAGCCCTTGATTGCCCATTTTTATGGTTATTTCTTGATGATATGCTAAACAAGGGGTGGATTATTTATGCATTCCCGTTTTAGACCATATAGGGTAACTTCTTGATGTTGCCATGGCATCTGTAAACTGTCATGGCACTGGTGGGAGTGTGGCAGTGAGGGCAACCAGAGGTCACTCTCGTGGCCATCTTGGTTTTTTGGATTTGGGCTGGCTTCTTTACTGCAGCCTATTTTATTAACAAGGTCTTTATGATCTTTATCTTGTGCTGACCTCCTATCTTATCCTGTGACTTAGAATGCCTTAACTGCCTGGGAATGCAGCCCAGTAGGTTTGAGCCTCATTTTACCCAGCTCCTATTTAAGATGGAGTTGCTCTAGTTCAAATGCCTCTGAGAACTTTACTGTATGGACTTACCCCAAATTCTTTCTTGCGAGGTCCAGGAACCCTCTCTTGGGGTCTGGATTGGGACCCCTTTCTGGTAACATGTATACAGCCAGAATATGGGGTGAAGGCAAGATCCTGGTGAAAAGAGAGGCATAGAAAGTTAAGACCAGGGGCCAGTTTTGTCCTTCAGGCATTTGCGAAATTCTTAAATGCAAAGTTTAAAAGTAGGCAGAATGCTCATGGAAGTCGGAGTGGCGTCTTTCGCCAGTGAAAGACTTTTACCATTTCATAGTGCCAAGAAGACAAAAATTATACTTCAGAATCCACTAAAAGGAGAGCCTTTGTAAAACCACTCAGAGAGCTACAGGCTAGGGGTAGAAGTGAACCAGAGAAAATAAAACTTTATAAAAACTGTAACTCAAATTAAGTCAGCTCAGTTCCTGATTGGATGCAGATGACATGCCCACGCTTTGTGTACCAGAAGTAGAGGGAAGCTCATTTAGGGGAATGTAGTACCTCTGGGTACTCTATAGTTTGTCATATAAAATGTCCAACGATCCATCAAAAATTAATAGGTATTCCAATAATTAGTTCTAAGAGGCGGGGAAGATAATAGGGAAAAACCATGGATGATCTAGATTTTGGAGTTATAAAACATAGACTTAAAGTAGCTGCAATCAATAGTTTCAAGAAAATAAAATTAAGAAGTTCATTAAAGAAGTGAAAATTTAATTATTGAAAAATGAAATAACATTTAAAATTCAGTAGATGAGTTTAATTAGAATGCACATAGCAGAAAAGAAGATAAATATACTGGTCAGTGGAAATGTTCTGGCTGAAGCACAGAAAGATAAAAATATAGAAAATATACAAAAAAGGGTAAGGGACATATAAGATATGGGGAGAAAGTCTAATGTGAATTGAAGTTCTAAGGGTGAAGGAAAGTGATGCCAGGGCCAAAGCAATATTTAGGAAACAATGGCTAAGTCTTTCCTAGAAATGTAAAAGGAAAGAAATCTTGCTGCAGATTCAAGAATCTTTGTAACTCCAAGCATGAAAAGTATTAATACTAAGAAAAAAATACTTCAGCACATTATAATAAAATTGTTTAAAACCATGGACAAAGGGAAATTCTGAAAACCTTCTAGAGAAAAAGAACACATTACCTGAAAAAGAATATCCACAAGACAGAGCTATTTTCTCAAAAGACATGGATGAAATTAAAACTCAATGGAAATACACCTTTAAAATAAACAGCACAAACACACACACACACAAAACAAAAAAACCAGTCACTGACCTAGAATTCTGAATGTACTAAGGATATCCTTCCAAAGTTAAGGCACATTAAAGAATTTCTATGCAAACAAAAGTTAGCTAAATTAAAATTGCCAGCATTTATCCACTAAAAGAAATACTAACATAGAAAGTAAATAATCTCAGAAATAAAATAAACATGAAAATGAAGGAAGAGCAATGGAGTTAATCACTGAATAAATATAAATAAACTGATGATTTTATTATAATGTATCCTAAGATTTAAAATATAGAAAGAATTAAAATTCATAAAAACAAAAACACAAAGTGGAAGAAGGACTGAGACTCAAGTGTTTGAGGATCTGGGAATTGGTAAGCGTGAGTACTAGTTTTATATTAAGTTGTAGTAAGAGAAAAATGCCCAATATAATCTGTACAGAGCCTCTGAAAGAACAACAACAACAAGAAAATCGTTTAAAATCTACATACAGGGGAAAATAAAAATAATTGTTTAACCAAAAAGGGGCAAGAAATGAGGAAAAAAGAAATATAAAAGCTAAGGAAAACGGTACTAAAAAGAAATAGAATGATGACAAATATATCAACAATTATGATAAATTCATCAATTAATAGACTAAGCTTGACAGACTAAATAAAAGGCAAAATCTACAATCTGCTGCTTACAGGGAACATACCTTTTGTATAAAAATACAGAAGGATTACAAGTAAAAGAGTGGAAAAATATATACCATGTAAATGCTAACCAAAAGGAAAAGTGATATAGATAATAGATAATAATAAACAAATTAGAGTTTAAGACAAAATGTAATCTTAGAAATAAAGATGAATATTTTACAATGATAAAAGTGTAGTCCCATTAGGAAGATAAAACAATTCTAAACAGTTACTCATATAATAGCATATTTCAAATTCTATAAGGCAAATGTTGGAATGGAGAGCTGGACAAATCCATAACTATAATACAAATAAAATATTACAGAACATTTGAAAAAATGACTAAGAAATTTAAAGTCATAAACATGTAGACACTTGCATCCACCAATAGAATAATTCCTATGTGTTTCTAGTGGTAGAATAATGCCTATGTGTTTCTAGTGGTCATGAAACATTTGGCTAATTTGACTCCATGTTGTGTCATGTAGCAAGACACTATTTTGTCATATAAAAAGACAGTAAACAATATTACCTCATTAGGGGTAATACTGAGTGGAGCCACTTCCATTTCTGCCTCTTGATTCTTGGCTATGAGAGAAACATCACCACTTACTGGATGCTGATTTAGGGCATGGACAGCCTCATGGAGGATATTGCTTTAGCCCTGAAAGGTGTAGCTGAGCCTTTGAAAGGCCATTCCACTGTTGTACCAAACCAAATGCTTCAGGATGAAGGGAAACATAGTAAGGCCAGTGAATTATATGAGCATGGGCCCATTGTCACAAGTTATTTGCTGTGAATGAGTTGTTTGATCAGAAGTAATGTGTACAGAATTACTGCAACAGTGGATAAGGCATTCTGCAGTATGACAGGTTTGGCAGAAACATTGCATGCAGGTAGGCAAATCCATAGCTAAGTGTTTTACAGTAAGAACAAAGTTACACTCTTCCATGTTGAAAGTAGTCCGTTGTAATCATGCTGCCACTAAGTAGCTGGCTGATCACCCCAGGAAATGGTGTCATATTGGGTGCTTAGTGTTGTTTTTTGCTGCTGGCAGATTGGACAGTTGACATGACTGTAGCCAGGGTGTTCTTGGTGAGTGGGAGTCCACATTCCTCAGCTCATATATATCATCTCCTTCCCTGACACCATGGCCACTTTGTTCATGAACCCATTGGGTAATGAAAGGCATGGCTGGGCAAAGAAGCTGATTGGTATCCATAAAAATGAATCATCTTATCCACTTGATTATCAAAATCCTCCTCTGCTAAGGTCATCCTTTGAGGAGCATTTAGATGAAACCAAATATCTTACTATTCTTTACCCATTCAGACGTATCTATCCTTGTAACTCTTCCTCAGACATTCTTGTCACCAATTTTCCACTCATGTTTCTTCCAGGTGCCCGAATGTCCAGATAAATCACTGGTCACAGCTTGTGAATTTGTCTAGATTCATATTTCTGGCCATTTTTCCTTTCAAGAAAAATGAACATTGGTACATAACTCAAATTAAAAAAAAAAAAAAAAGCACATTGCTCAGCGTTCTGCCTACTGGGAGGATTTCCCTTCACCACTGTGTCTCAGGGATGTCCCAGAAAGGGGTGTAGTGCTGCAGCTGTTCACTTTTGGGTATGCTTGCATATCATGCAGCGTCTGTTACGCAGGCCTAGCTTTCTCTTCCTCAGCCAACTGGTCAAAGAACAAAACAAAATAAAAACAACGATAACAAAACCTCCACATGAAGTCATAGTTGTAGGCTGGGAAAGAAAAGATAATATTGTAGGACTCAGGAAGATTTGGGTCACTTCTTGCAATTTACTTGTACTTCTAGGGCCTGCTTGATCCCAGTACCACCTATCTTTCTTCCATTTGATAATGGAGTGCTGCTGTGCATGTCCAGCTTTATGGCGTGGTGGTTTGGACAACGCCATGTTTATGATGGGTAGTTAAGGTCCCGTGGCATCTTGATGGCCTTTGGTTAAGTGTTTATTCTCTCCTGAGGCACAGTAGCAAGCCAAAAGCTGTTTCTCAGATAGAAAGTATTTATCCACAGAGAATAGCAGGGCAGAATTGCTCCCCTTCTGGATGCTTGAAGGGAGAATCCATTTTCTTACCTTAGCTTCTAGATACCACCTGCATTTCTTGGCTAGTGGCCCTTTCTTCCATTTTCAAAGCTAGCAAAATTGTCACAACTCTTTCTCTGAGCACAGCCAGGAAATGTTCCTTGTTTTCAGGGACACATTTGATTAGATTGGGCCTACGAGAATAATTCAGGATAATCTCCACATCTCAAGGTCTGTACCCGTAATCACATCTACAAATCTCTTTTGTCACAGAAGGTAACATATTCATAAATTATGGGAAAAAGAGCATGGGTGTCTCTGGGGGCCATTATTCTGTCTGCCACAGATGCCTACTATCATTGTGCATTCAGCATTGTACTGGAGGTCCTAGTCAGTGAAATAAGGCTAAATAAATAAATAAAAGCAGAATAACTCAAAAGAAAAACAGAAAAAAACCTTATTATTTGCATATGACACAATTATGTACCAAAAAATCCCCCAAATAAGCATTAGAAATAATAGATATCCTATTAGTGAATTTAACAAAGTCACTTGATGCAAAATAAGTATTTAAAAATCAATTCTACATTTATATAACAACAACAAACAAGATAAAATAAAAATTTAAAAATTTCATTTACAGTGGTATCAAAAATATTAAAACTAAGACTAAATCTAATAAAAGATATGAGAATGTTTTCAATAAAAACTGTAAAACATTATTGAGTGATATCAAAGATGTAAATACATGGAAGGATATATAATATATTTGGGATGGAATCAATGTGGCAAAGACATTAATTTTCCTAAATTGTAGATTCAATACAATACAACTTAAAATACGATTAATTTTTTTCAGAAATTAACAGGTGATTCAAAAATTCATATGGTAATACAAAGGGCCCTAAGTAAAACAATTTTGAAGAACAAATCTTGAGGTCTTAAACTGTGAGATATCTACACACATTACTGTAAAACTATAGAAACTGAGATAGTGTGGTATTGACATAAGGTTAGACAAACTGACCATAGAAAAGAATGAAGAATCTAGATAGGGCAGGTAGGGTGATAGTTTTTCGATAAATATTGCTGAGTTAATTGACTATCCCAATGGGAAAAAATGTATTTGAATCCATACCTCATATACAGAAAAATCAATTCCAGATAGTTTTCACAACTAAATGTGAAGAGTAAGACAATAAAACTTTTAGAGATAAATGCAAGAGAATCTTATGATTACCACAGGGTTTTCAAAGAATCCTTTAAAAAGACACAAAAGCATGAGCCATAAAAATAAATGGGCAGGGCACGGTGGCTCACTCCTGTAATCCCAGGACTTTGGGAGGCCGACGTGGGCAGTTCACCTGAGGTCAGGAGTTCGAGACCAGCCTGGCCAACGTGGTAGAACCCCCGTCTCTACTAAAAATACAAAAATTAGCCAAGCGTGGTGGCACACAATTGTAATCCCAGCTGCTCAGGAGGCTGAGGCAGGAGAATTGCTTGAACCCAGGAGGTGGAGGTTGCAGTGAGCCGAGATTGCCCTATTGCACTCCAGCCTAGGTGACAGAGTGAGTCTCTGTCTCAAAACAAAACAAAACAAGATTACAGTTGACCTAGAACAATGTAAAGATTAGGACCACTGACTCCCCACACAGTCAAAAATCCATATGTAGCTTTTGACTTCACAAAAGCTTAATTAGTAATAGCTTACTGTTGACAAGAAGCCTTACCAATAACACATAGCCAATTAATACATATGTTGTATATTATATGTATTACATGCTGTAGTCCTAAAATAAATCCAGAGAGAAGAAAATGTTAGTAAGAAAATTTTTATCTGAAGGGAAAGAAAAGAAAAAAAGAAGAAAACCAAAAACCAAAAACCCCCCAAAATTATAAGGAAGAGAAAATATATTTACTCTTTATGAAGTAGAAGTAGATCATCATAAAGATCTTTCTTTATCTTCATGATCTTTGCATTGAGTAGGCTGAGGAGGAGAAGGAAGAGGAGGGTCTTGCTATTTCCAGTGTGGCAGAGAGAGAAGAGGTGAAAGAGGTGGAAGAGAAGGCAGTATAGTGAGGCACACTTGGTGTAACTTTATAGAAACGTATCATAATTTCTGTCTGGCTTTCTTGCTGTTTCATTTCTCTAAAAATGTGTCTATATGGTATCAAGTCTTCTTCCACCCTTTGCTTTAATTTCCATGCCTGTATCAAAGAAGGGTCTATGTCATAAAAGAAGTCAAAAGCAGTCCTCAATAATGAGAACACTTCCGCCAGACTGTCTAATGTAAATGTGTTTTCTGGCACTGCCTCTTCTACGTCTTCTTACTCAGTGTCTGGCAGTGGTTCACATGTACTCATTTTCATCAAGTTGACTTCTGCTAATTCCTTTGGTGTGGTATATATGAGCTCTTGAATTTCTTTAAGATCCTTTACCACCCTCCCCCCCCCCACATACTGTTTTTCTTAAACCACATCCATGATCTCTTTCATAATTTCGTTGATTGGTTCTAATTTACATCTGAATTACATTTTTTAAATTGGCATGGTTTATATCATATGAAGTCACACACATCTGGACAGTTTTCTCCAGGATGAATATATGGTTTGTGCTTGGCGGATTTCATGGTTTTTTCTATGACAACGATGGTATCTTCAATGGTATAATTATTCCAGACTTTCATAACGTTCTCTCTGTTGGGATTCTCTTCCCTGACAATCCTTTCAATAGAGTATAGTGTGTAATGAGCCTTAAAGGTCTTTGTAACTCCCTGATCTGGAGGCTGAATTAGAGATGCTGTGTTTCAGGCTAAGTGCATCTCTTTGAACTCATGGGGCTCTGGTGGCCAGAGGCATTGTCTAATATCAAAAGAACTTTAAAAGGCATTCCCCTCTTGGCAAGGTACTTTCTGGCTTCAGGGACAAAGCATCAATGGAATCAATCCATGAAAAGTGTTCTTGTCCAGACCTTCTTGCGCAACCAAAAGACTGGCAGCTGGTGTTTCACCTTTTCTCTTCTAGGCTTGGGGGTTAGCAGCCTTGTAGTAAAGACAGTCCTGGTCACAAGCTCAACTGCATTTGCACAAAAAAGGAGAGTTAGCCTATCTTTTCTGTCTTAAATCCTGGTGCTCCCTTCTCTTCCTTAGTAATAACTGTTCTTTGTCGCATTTTGTCCCAGAACAGGGCACTTTTGTCTGCATTAAAAACCTGTTTAGGCAGATATCCTTTCTCCTTAATGATTTTCTTAATGATGTCTCGGAACTTGTCTGCTGTCTCCTGGTTGGGAGAAATTGCTTCTTTTGTTATCTTGACATTTTAAAAGCCAAATCTTTTTCTAAAATAATTTAACCATCCTTTAATGACATTAACTTCTCCAGTTTTTGGTCCTTCACATTCATTTTGATTTGTCATATAATGCCTTCACTTTTCCTGGAATTATATTGATGTCTACAGGTATGCCTTTCTTAGAGCAATCCGCACCCACATACAAGCTGCATTTTTTTTTTTTTTTGAGACGGAGTCTCACTGTATCGCCCAGGCTGGAGTGCAGTGGTACCGTGGTGTGATCTCTGCTCGGTGATCTCGGTTCACTGCGAGCTCCGCCTCCTGGGTTCACACCATTCTCCTGCCTCAGCCTCCCAAGTAGCTGAGACTACAGGCACCTGCCATTGCACCCGGCTAAGTTTTTGTAGTTTTAGTAGAGACGGGGTTTCACTGTGTTAGCCAGGATGGTCTCGATCTCCTGACCTCGTGATCTGCCCACCTTGGCCTCCCAAAGTGCTGGGATTACAAGCGTGAGCCACAGCGCCGGGCCACAAGCTGCATTTTTAAATATCAGATAAAAATTTATTTCAGGTTGGGTGCAGTGGCTCATGCCTGTAATCCCAGCCCTTTGGGATGCTGAGGTGGGTGGATCACCTGAGGTCAGGAGTTCAAGACCAGCCTGGCCAACGTTGAAACCCCATCTCTACTAAAAATACAACAATTAGACAGGCTTGGTGGTGCACGCTGGTAATCCCAGTTACTTGGGAGGCTGAGTCAGAGGAATCACTTGAATCTGGGAGGCGGAGGTGAGCTGAGATCATGCTACTGCACTCCAGCCTGGGTAACAGCGAGACTTCTGTCTTTAAAAAAAAAAAAAAAAAAAAAAATTATAAAAAGCTCAAGATTTTTGCTCCTGGTCATTTAGCTGCAATGAGGCTTCACACATTTCCTTTTCTGTCCATTTTTTTTTTTTTTACAATGATCCTTACACTGGACTTATCTTGAAATGGCAGGTGACCACAGCCTCATACCTCAACCTAGGCTAATATTAAGAAATTCACCTTTTTCTTACAGTGTCATACCTTTTTCTGCTTCTTGGGAACACTTTCAGCATCACTAGTGGCACTTCATCTGGATCTCACCATGTTTTTCAAGGTTCACGGTATTTTACCAAACACAGGGAAAAATACAAGGAACTGTGAGAGATCACTTTTTACTGCAATCTGAAATTCGCTGGAGAGGTGAACTGTTCACACAGGGATGATTAGTGTTACATGGCATTTTAAGGGGATACTTGCTCACTATAATAGTTACAGGATGTTGCTACAACATTATTACAGTAGTAGTATGTGCTATAGTTAATTTTATGCAGTTATGATTTAATATTGCATCTTTACATTTGTTTACATTTCTTTTGAATGTGAATGGCACCATGTATCCTCTGTAAGTTTTTGTGTGCGTAAGTTTTGATAAATGTTAACTTCTTATAATAGATATGTGTATATTTTATGGTGGTACATGATAAAAAACACTAGTAGCTACATATATTTTATGCATTCATAACATACCTAACTTGTCCTTATTTTTTTGACATTTCTAGGCTATGTGGTTTGTCTGAGAGTTTTTTCAAATGTCATCATAATCTCCAAAAGATTTTCCAGTATATTTATTGAAAAAATCTACAGGTAAGTGAACCCAGGCAGTTATAACTCGTGTTTGTTGTTCAAGGGTCAATTTTATATCAAAATGAAGGAATTCTGTTCATAAGAACACATAATTAAACGAGCGAAGAGGCAAAAGAGTGGGAGAATATATTCATGAATATATAAAGAAATCCTAGACATCAAAAAGAAACTAACAGATAATGTACTTAAAAAATGAACAAAAAGTTTCACCAAATACTTCACTAAGAGAATACTCAAATGGCTAATTATTAACAGATGAAAAAATACTCAACTTCATTAATCACAGGGGAATGTAAATTAAAATCATATCATCATTCTACAGCATACTCATCTTAATGTCTAAAATGGAAAGCATGAAAAATGGTAACTGTTAGCCATGATATGGAAAATCTAGAACTCTCATCACTACTAGTGGCAGTATACTTATTTTGAAAAATTGGCAGCATCAATAAAAGCTGATCATATGCATGCTGGTGATCTAGCAATTCCATGACTGAATATATACCCAAGAAAAATATGTAATATAGTTATCCAAAACATGTGCAGTCAGCTGTGTTATAGTGTAACATACATGTCCATAAAAACCACATTATGCAAAAGCACACAATAATAATCACAGGGATTGTGGAAAAAAATACATTTATAAACAAAACACTCAAAAGTGTAATTGGTGACCCATGAAGAAGATGAAACCTATTGAAAATGGTAGTGCAATTTTATATATGTTAAATGGCTTAGCAAATACATAAATACTATAATAAATATGATACTTTAACTTAAAAAAGACCAGAAGCTTGTGACTTATTATGAAAAGGTGGAAGGGGGTGTATTACTTTCCTATGGCTACTGGGACAAATTATCACAAACTTGGTGGCTTAAAACAACAGAAGTTTATTCTCTCATGGTATGGGTGCTGGACACCAGAAATCTAGAAGCTAGGAGTTTGCAGGCTGCACTCTCTCTGAAGGCTGTAGGGGAGAAACACTTCTTGTCTCTCCCAGCTCTAGTGGTTCCAGACATCCTTTGGTTTATGGTTGCTTCCTTCCAATCTCTGCCTCCATCTTCATATGACCATCCCTTCTCCCTGTCTTCTTTTCTTATAAGGCTGGATCGTTGGATTTGGGGCCCACTTGAATAATCCTGAATGATTTCATCTTGAGATCTTTCGTTTAGTTACATCTGCAAACACTCTGTCTAAATAAGGTCACAGTCACGAGTTCTGCGGTTTAGGACATGAATATATTTCTTTTGGGGCCACCATTCAATCTGTTATAGGAGAGTTATCAAAATTTGCAATATTTTGCAGCGTTAAATCTGGGGTTGTGTTTTTCTGTTTTTGAAATAAAAGTCCTCTGAGGCACGAGTTTATAATAGATGCCTATTTTATCAAAATGAACAAACCAGTTCCAATGCATAACCACCTTTTTCAATTAAAACTTTAATTTTTCTATCACTGTTGGAGATTATTTTGTGACTTTCTGGTTTGCACTCTTGGCTTTTTCTGAGAGTTGAAGGCTCCGGAAATTGCTGCATCCTTGAAACCATCAAAACAGTGACTACTAGCACTAAAAGAAACCACTTTAGCAGGATTTGGCAATTTCTGTTTAAGGTCTTTGCATATAGGTGGTGTATTCTCTTTGATTATGAGAAAGGTTGTTCCTGATATTTTTCACTGGTCTTGAGTCCACATGCTCAAAAATCTATTTCTTTTATTTCTTTAGGCCTTGTTCTTACTGACTTTATAGTATTTGTAGCATTTAAATTGTTTCAGCCTTTCTGGAGATTAAAAAAAAAAACATTTCTTTCATTTTTATAGCACTGTGTCTTATGGTCTACATGTAGATTCCTTTATGACTATTGCTTGTGAGATATGATATGCCCTCTATTTCTTCTAAAATGACACATAATTTCTAGCTTCTATTTAATACTTAAAACTTTTATTTTGTATGTTCTTCCTAGCATTCTTGAACCAGGATGCTTAGAGATGTTTGCGATGTTGAATGTCCATTTTAAAAAAATATAGAAAAGTTCACAAATGAAAAAAGAATAGCAAAATACAACCTTGTAGAATAACACATGTAGTGAACTGAGGTAGCTGATAGATGTTTGAGGTGTATGTGTGTGTGTGTTTTGCCTGTTCCTACATGGATTGATTCAGCTGGTTGGAATTTTAAGTGTGCATCTAGTGTTTCTCATAAACAAAATTGCACATAAGCAAACACAAAACTTGCAGTAAGAATAAGTGTTCTCTAATATACCAGTTGTGTTAAAACAAATTTGTGTTTCTAAGCCAGCAGAACTGACTATACTAGAATGTTCACAGCAACACTGTTTGTACGAGCCTGAAATTGGAAACTACTCAAGAACCTATCAACAGGAAAATGGGTAAGTACATTCTGGTAGACACACAATGCAATACTATATAGTGATGTGAACGGTTGATGTGTATTGCACATAAAAATACAGATGCATCTTGCAAATATAGAATTTAGCAAAATAACTCAAACATAAAAGACGTATATACTGCATGATTTCACTTACAATTAATACAAAAATAAACAAAACTAATATATGCTATTAGAAGTCAGGATAGTGCCTACCTTAGGATATTCTTGTTGTCTTAAAAGTAACTCAAATGTAGCAACAAAATATAGTTAAGTATTGAATTCTTGGGTCATAGATTCTTTCCTCAAACCTCTATAAATCTTTTGTTCCATTTTCTTCTGATTTTTCGTTGTCTTCTTCTGTGGACTAGGAAGCCCCTGTCAATTTATCACTGAATGGGTGGGAGATGTATCTTTGGATACATGTTTGCTGCAGCCTCTCAGAAGGGCCCATCCCACTTACCATTGCTGAGACAGCAAACTCAACCTGTGCAATGTTCAGAATCTGTAATAATGCTGCATTTTCTGCATCATACAATAACCCATGCATCTCCTCCATCCATCTTCCTGTGACCTTTTGCTTTCTTGTCTCTAGTTCCGCCTTGAAATCATGCATGGCCTATCTCTAATCTCCATCCTCTCCCTGCTCTCACCATTACGTCCTCTTGAGCAATGGAACAGAAATCCTTATTTCCTCACACATACTCTTCTGAAATAATAAACACCTCATTTTTTCATAATAAAGGACATGTTTAAATAAAAGGAAAGCCCACCATCTGGCATTGAATGTTGCAATCACTCCATTTGCCATATGGGAAAGGGAGGCTGCAGAGAAAAATTTCCTGCCCCAGGATAGAGAGAGTGTGGCAGAACCAGTTACACCGGTAGGAGCAGAGAGCTTCTTTAGGAAAGGGAGTGCAGGAGGCCAGGCAGGAGCCAGCAGAGGACTTGATGGATGCAGAGGCCAGTGAGGAGATGACTGGATCCAACCATTCAGGGCCAGGCCTGGGGAGGCTCAGACCTCAGCCTGGGCACACAGACAAATTAAGTTTGAAACAAAGACGGAGGCACCCTGCCTGAGGGAGACTGTGAGAAGTGGGTAGCCAGGCAGAGTGTGCTATGGGGCTGGGGTCTGCACCTGTTGAGGCCACCGTCCACCTTGACAGTGATGACACTGAGAAATGTCACTGCAGGGCTGAAGCTCCTCTGGACAAGGAGCTGCAGGTCCCTCTGGAGAATCTCAGGCAACACATTGGGCTTCTAAGATGACAGGAGAAGGCTTCTGGGTCCAAGGGCAACAGTTGCCCTTAGCATTACTTGACCACCTTCAACTAGGCCCCAGGGAGTCACTGCAGCCAGAAGGAGGGTGGGAAGCACTCATAGGAGGGGACTGGAAATGAAGGAGGGTGATCACCACTCTATTGAAAAGTGACATGTATTTCTATAGAGAAGCAAAGCAGAATGTAAAGAAGTCACGAGAATACTGTACCAGGTAACAAAGTTGTGCTCCTGAGCCCAGCATATTTCCCCTCATCAAGCTATCACCATAGCCCTAAGACAGAGGAGGAATCAGGGAGTCAAGGAAGGCAAGAGGCTCTGAGAGTTTCCGGCCTGACTGTAGGCTGCCCCTGGGCGTCCATGTCCAGATCAGTCTCAGTTGAAATTTGTTTCCACAAGTGTTCTCAGGCCCACCTCTGCCCACCCCAGAGGCACTGGGAAAGTTGCCTGGGGACTCTGGTGGCCCAGGAGGCAGCACCTAAAATGAGAGACAGCAGTAAACTCACACAAAGTCCTAGACTCACACAGACACATGAAGACAGACTCAGATACCAGCAAATGCATGTTCTCACATGAGGCAATGAGGGAAATCAGATCTTTGAAAGCGATGGGCAGTTGGTCATTTTGCAGGCCCATTGTAGAGAATCATGTGCCAGTGAGGGGCCACCTTGGCTACCCCATGAATTGCAGGAAAACACAGCAGTCTGGAGCTTCGAGAAAAGTTACAACACTATGCCTGCCTGGGATTCCAGACCCAGGGCGATGGACCCTGGCTGTGCTCAGGCCCTGAGCTCTCCCCCTGGTGACTGATCCTGGGCTCAGGGTTGAGAGTGCAGAACTACAGGCCACAGACTTTGAGGCTTGCGTCTTCTGTCTCTGGGCCCAGGTGTAGTTCATACCTACCACCTTCCATAATTTCTCTTATTAACATCTTTCGTTACTGTAACATGCTTGTTACAATTAACCAATAATTATACATTACTATTAATGATAGTCCATGGTTTACATAAGGGTACACTTTTTGTGCTTTACAGTTCTATGGGTTCTGACAATTGTGCCCCCCACACTACTCCAACCACCACCGGTCAGGAGGAAGATGGTAGACATCATGATCAGGAGGCCTGGTGATGAGGGCAGAGCCCTGAGGGGAGCGGTGGGGATAGAGAATGAGGGGACTGCTACTCTTCCCAGAAGGGGAACTCTAAGTAGTCTGGGGAAGGGCTGGGAGCCCAGGGCTTCCCATCCTACATGCTGCCCTTCCTGCACAGTTTGGAACTAAGTGAGAAGCTGGACTCTGGGATTCTGACAACCCTGAAACAGTCACTCCAGAGCAAGAAGGGACAAGGTCCAGTGTTGGCTGGGGCAACATCCAGCCATTGTTCCTCAAAGGCAGTGTCTTCCACACTATTACTTTTTTGTTTGTAACAGCTTTATAAAAACACATATTACACAATTCACCCATTTAAAATATGAAATATATATATATATGTATGTATATATTGCTATATCCACAGTTGTGCAACCATTTCTATGGTCAATTTTAGAACATTTTTATGTCACCAAAGTGACTCCATTTTGGATGGTACTCTGCCATGTTGACTTCTGATTAGCCCCAGTCCCGTGAATGCCTCCTGATTCCTACTTTATCTACCATCCTTGCTGTAAGAGCACATTGACCTTGTCATTACCACACAAATGATAGGCTGTGACACATATCACATCCTTGCTTGTTCCGGATGGTTGCCTTTAATTGTCTTGCATGGAGCACACGTATCCTTTCCCTGTGGCATATAAGCCTTCTGCCTGGGGATTAACAGTGCGTAGATCTCCCTGTCCTGCAGCTACCCAAGACCATGCTTCTATCTATGAGGCTTCTCGATAAATCATCTGATATGGACAAACTGGATTTGTCTGCCTCCTTCTTTGGTTTCCTGGCTCCTTTGACATTTGGGAATTGCTTTGCATATACAGCCCTTTCATGGAACAATCCCCAAAGAAACCCTGTGCCATTTAACCATTATCTCTGTCCCCCAGCCCCAGAGAACTGCTGATCTAGTTTCTATTTCTATCAATTTGCCTATTCTGGACATCTCCTATAAATGGAATTGTACAATATGTGGTCCTTTTGATTGACTTCTTTAACTTAGCGTAAGATTTTCATGGTTCATCTATGTTGTATCATGTATCAGTACTTCAGCTTTTTTTTCCTTGAGCCATATTCTATTATATGAATATACCATACTTTGTATCTATTCATCAGCTGAATTCAGGTTGTTTGAATTTTTTGGCTATTATAAATAGTGCTTCTGTGAATATTTGTGTACAAGTTTCCATGTGGACGTATGTTTTCATTTCTCTTGGATATATATCTAGGAGTGGAATTGGTGGACCATATGGAAAATTTATGTTTAAGTTTTGATGAATTTCAAGACTGTTTTCCAAAGTGACTGCACTATTTACATTTCCTCTAACAATGTATGAGAATTCTAGTTTCTCTTAATTTCATAACAACTCTTGGTACTCTCCAACTTTTAAATCCTAGCCATCATAGTGTGTGCGAAGTGGTATTTCATTGTGGTTTGAATTGGCACATCTCTGATGAGTAATGATGTTAAGTATTTTTAATGTATTTATTGGACATTTGTATATCTTATTTGGAGAAATGTCTATTCAGATTCTTAAAATTGGGTTGTCTTTTTACTATCAAGTTGTAAGCATCCTCTAAATACATATTCTAAATACGAGTCCGTTATCAGATACGTTATTTGAAAATCTTTTTTTTTTCCATTTTGTATTTTTATCTTTCTTGATGGGGCAAAAATGTTTTTAATTTTGATGAAGTTCAATTTGTCAATTTTTTTCTTTGGTTGCTTGTACTTTTAGTGTCACATCTAAGAAACCGTTATCAAGTCCCAGTTCATTAAGATTTAAACCTATTTTCTTCTAAGGGTTTTGTAGTTTTAGCCTTTATATTTTGGTCTGATATCCATTTTGAGTTAGTTTGGTGTATTGTATGAGGTAGGGGCTCAAACTTCATTCTTTAACATGTGGACATCCACCCATCCCAGCACCTTTTATTATACAAATTATTGCTTCCCCATGAAGTGTTTTGACCCCTTGTTGAAAATGAAGTGAGCATAAATGTGATTATTTCTGCTTTCTATGTCGTGATTACTGTAGCTTTGTAGTACGTTTTGATATCAGGATGTGTGAATATTCCAATATAGTTCTTTTTCAAGATTGTTGTGGTTTATTCTGGTTATCTTGAATTTCCATATGAATTTTATGGAAGAGAGTTTTCTGTCTTGTCAGCTTATGCATAGAAGCCAGCTGAGATTTTGATAACAATTGTGTTAAATCTGTAGATTAATTTAAGCAATATTGCCATCTTAACAATTTTCAATACTTGAAATTGAGAAGTTGCTCCATTTTTAGAGATCTTTAAAGATTTCTTTGAACAATATTCTGTAGTTTTCAGAGTGTGAGTTTTGCACCATTTTCATTAATTTATTCCTAAGTGTTTTGTTTGTGATGCCATTGTAAATGCAGTTCTTTCCTTAATCTCATCTCTAGATTATTTATTGCTGTTTGTATACAACTGGTTTTAGCATATTATTCTTGTATCTTGCAACCTTGCTAAAACCCATTTTATAGTTTGAATAGTCTTTTAGTGGATTCCTTAAGAATTTCTATATCCAAGATTATATCATCTTCAAACAGGGG